GTTCTCTATTCTTAGAAAACATTATTAGTGAAGTAACACACACACATACAAACACACACACACACACACACCAACACACATGTAAATGTTTGGGCTCACATAGGATGCTGTTTGTACTCTAGTAGAGGGTCACCAAGGATTTATGTGAAGACTTGGTTTCATACCCCTAGGTTATATCAAATAATCTCATAGTGTCCCTTTTTATTTAGTAAATCTATTCTGTGAAAGGTCACGTATTTGATTTGATCAGGAAGTAAAAAGTCCTCTGGGGTTGCCGATTTTGTAATGGAAGAATGAATTTCAGATGTGAATGGTCAGTTTGAATTTCAATCTGTTGTATACCCTACTCGCTACCCAGCCAAGACAAACCCTGTCATTTACAATCATAAGAAATGCTGGTTTTGTCTGGAAAGTGCTATAGCTTGCCTTTAACGGATGCAAAATGACCAAACTAAAGCAAGGGTTTTTCAAAAGTGCTTCATTTTTCTGTAAATGTAAGTGTGTATGTGTACATGTGTGCTTGTGTGTAGAGTTCATAGATCTTTCATAGTTCCCCAGGAGTCATTCACACTATTGTCTGAGATGCCATCTCTCAGTGGTACCTGTTGTTGCTCATTAACCCGGACTGGCTGCCCATTAAGCTCCAGAGATCTGTCTGTCTCTACTTCCCCATCTATGTGAATCAAGTATGTACCACCATGGGTTCACACATTTACAAAGGTGCTAAGCTAAGTATTGAGCTCAGCCCTCATATTTGTGCTGCCAAATTTTTTTCCCAAGTGGCCTATCTCCTTGACCCCTTGAAACATCATTTACACTAATTCGACTGTAGACAGGCAGTAGAACCTTGAAGCAAAGCGGTCAAGTCTTGACCTCTAACCTCCAAGGGATTCAAAGCAAACACATTAGAAGAGAGATGAGCAGTTTTTATATTGCCATCTGAGCCAGAGGACAATAACCAACTAAAATCTTTGAGCTTTACAAAAAAAAAAAAAAAAAAAAAAAAAAAAAAAAAAANCTCTCTCTCTCTCTCTCTCTCTCTCTCTCTCTCTCTCTCTCTCTCTCTCTCTCTTTCTCTCCTTTAAGCCCATATCCATTATTCCTGAGCTTTTTTAATTCATAGCAGTTCTTGTTAATCACGCCCCCCTTACATTCTTACTACAAACCTCCCATTCATATTCTTTTCAGGTTTCAAATAAACTCTTGAAGTAGCTTCTTCATGAGTTGAATGTCTTCTCTATCTCTCAACCTGCCCACTCCACTCAATAGCCAAACTTCCTCAGATGTCCATTTAATCATAATATCCACCACTTAGGAGACCCACTTGATCCCCTTATGTTCCTAAAATAAAGTTCTACCTCTGCTATGGGACAGATTAGAAGATGCCAATTGTCATGCTGTTACCTCCTTTTTTAGGCATATCCAAATCCTCTACACAAAAGGCTTCTTTTTACTTTCTGTGAGTAAATAATTTCCTGTTTCTTCAATTAATTGTGATCTTCCAAATATTTATGTTTTGGTTCATTATTACTCTTACAGACTAAATGTCTTTCTTTCAAAGAGTTACCATTAGCTTTTATTTGTGTGTGCATACATGTGAGCCTGTGTACATGCCCATGTGTGCGTGTGTGTGGGGGGGGTACCTGCAGAGGCCAGAAGAGTACAGCAAATTACTTGGACCTGAAATTAAAAGTGATTTTGAGCCACTCAACACAGGTGCTAGAGACTGAATACAGGTTCTCCAGAAGAGCAACAAGTGCTATTGATTCTTTTCTCCAGCTCCCCCAATGTCTCTTGATCTTTTCTCCACCCCCCAAAATGCCTCTTGATCTTGACTCTCTTCTTCACACAAATTACTTGCTTTCATGCTTCAGTCAAAGCATCATTAAGTATAATCTGAACACTTCCTCACCCACTCTGAAGCATTCCAGTGCTACATGGTTCTGCATTTCCTGACATCTAACAAATTTTTGTGGCAATTTTCTTGGTTTTGTCTGTTCCAAATTCATGCCCTAATTTTTTTTTTCTTCACCCATGGTGTGCACTCTCAAGTGGCTTGCCAACCAGAATATCCAGCTTCCTTCCTGCCAAGTGGTAGTTAGAGATAAAGCTAGGTCAATTGACCTTACTCTCTTGGAAATTGAGATCTTTAGTGGAGAGACACTGGAATGGGAATGGTTAGTCCTGATTAATGCCACCACTGGCAGCCTGACAATAATACCAATTGGTTTCTGCCTCTTATCATGAAGTTCTTCTGGCTCCTGTCCATTTGAAAACTGTAGTTCCTCCGATTTCCTTCAATCCTGTGAGTAACTCCATAGCCCTCAAATAAGGTTCTTTTTTAATTAAATTAGCTAGGGTTTATTTGTATTGCTTGTACCCCCCACTCCCAATTCCTAACTGATACAACTCTTCTCGGAGTTATTTTTTTATTGTCTGTCTCCCATAATAGGCTACCTCTTCTTTTAAGAATTGGAAGCAGACATTGAATAATCCCTTACACTCATCACCTGGTACTTTATCTGCCTCCTAATAGGTACTCATAACCATGTGAATAGTGGCTTATATTGTGGATTGGGTATGTACAAGGAGTAATGTCAATGCTCATCTCAAGAAATAATACTGATGACACATAAAATCACTTTGTCCTTGCTAATGGCTTATTTATTGATGTTAAATTTGTTTTATAATTTAAAAATTAAGGTAGATACAAAGCAAATTTCAGCAGTTTTCTTATGTGAGTTAAAAATGGAACATGAAGTAGTGAAGAAAACTCAAAGCATCAATAACACAATTGGCCCAGGAACTATTAAAAACATACAGTGCAATATGGTTGTTCAGAAAGTTCAGCAAACAGAGATGAGAGCCTCAAAGACAACTAGCATAGTGGCTAGTCAAAGAAACTTGACAATGGCCAATCCAAAACAATCATTTTGCTAGAAAGTAGATTTTGTTGCTCTAGACACAAACACTAATATACTTCTTTGTAATTTCTGTCTATGTATGCTACTATCTATAAGTTCATGTCGGATACCATATCTATTTAAGGTAGTATTAATTTTAATGTCATATTATTAATCCTTTATGTGATGTTAGACAAATTGATTTATAAATATCATTTTTGTATTCTAATTGTTTAATTTATACTAACTACATCAAACCTGATCTCTCTCTCCCTCTCGCTCTCTGTTTTGAAGTCTTTCATAAAGTAGAATCACTAATTCACACCAATTCTGGAGAGCTCAGCTACACATTAGTGTCTACATGAGCTACCTTTGAAGGAGACACTGTTTATTCATAGTATTTCTGTTTATCTAATAACTGTTACTCTATCATATTATTACTATTCTTGCTTTAATTCTAACTTTTTATATTTTAACATATTTTTATCCTTCTAGGTTTCAAATATATTCACAATGTCAGGTTGTGCTATAAATCTTCATTTTCTTTCAATGACTTGTATGTGTATTTTTATTGTGTCTCATTTATTCACTATGCTATTAAACAGAATATTCACATTTTCTTTATTTCATTATCAGACTTGCAAAAGCAATCTTTCCCATATGAACTTTTTCAACAAACTAAATTTTTGGCAATGTTTTCTACTGGTCATTAAATATCCATTGAGCACCTGGAATGTTGACCCTCTCAGACCCAATACTGAATAAAGCATTCTGAAAGCTGCCCTCATGGGATTACAAGCCACATTATTCTCTAGTTCCAGCTAAGATTATGTTGGGTTTGTCCTTGCTTCCTTCACTCTCTATGTGTTTGATACATCTTTTCAAGTTAAATACTTCTTAGTTTTCTCTTCAGGAATGCATTTGCTTGGTGATTCAACACCCTATCCATTACAATTTCAATAATTCTCATCTCTGTGTATATTCTATATCACTTTCAGTTATTGATAAATTGTAAATATCTATTAAAATATTTCCTGAAATTATTACTAACTGAAAATTCCCCCATATGTTTTTAATTTAGGCATGCTTTAAACAATTATTTTTTAGTTAACAACAAAGTATATCTACAAAACTGATCTAATAAGAATATGAGGGCTGGGGACCTAATGCAGTTGATAAAGTGCTTTCCAGAGCCCCATAAAAGAGACAATAGAGAGAGAGCATTGCTAAGGAGGCAGAGGTAGGACAATCAGAAACTCAAGGTCACTTGAGTTCAAGGCCAACTTGGAGTACAGGTTACCCTGTCTCGGAAAGAGAATTGACTGAAACTAAAGTAGCATTATAATTTTGTAGTGTAATGTAGTGTGTGTATGCTGCTAATCACAACCAATCAAAATGCAGAGATGTGAGGCCCAGTACCAAAGGATATATCTACAAAGCACTTCCACACCTAAGGTTCAGAGAACATTGTGGAAGAGTGGGCAAAAATATGCCAAGAACCAAAGGATCAGGTAGTTTATTTTGAGATTGTGTCTCCTAGTAACACCAGAACCGACACCTCTAAAGTTTCACCAATATCAATGTACAAACATGAGTTCAGCGAGGACACCACCAATGAATATGTCAAACAGAATGGAGAAAAAACCCTCAAGACCTCAAACCTACACACACACACACACACACACACACACACACACACACACCAAGCAAACAAACAAAACTATAGGCAAATGAGGAAATTTGGGAGTAGAAGAGGTGCCCTTATATTTAGAAATAGATGTATATACCTACACATATATGCATACACACAGTGAAAAAAGGACCTTGAATCAGGAGAGAGAGGAAGGGTATGTGGGTAGGTAGAGAGAAGGAAGGGAGAAATGTTGAAACTATAATCTCAAAAATACAAAGAAGAGTAATCCAATCAATGATATCTAGAACCTCATCCTTAGCGACATTATTGTTAATATACTTAACATTTAAGTGCTTTTTCTTTAAAAAAAAAAAGTGGATTTCTTCTAATTACAAAACAATACTTTATTGTAAAGCAATATACCATGCTACTCTGACAACAGCCTTGTAATCTTTGTCTTCCAGATCTATTGACTACATCAAGAGTGGAATGGTTTTTGCATCCTGTCAAAGTTTCTGTGGGTGAGTATATTGTTTCCCCAGTGCTGAAGTCACTTAATAGTGAACTTCGCAGGACTTATGCCTGTGCCTAAACAATGTATGTCAATGGTGGAGAACATTCCTAGAATCCTTAGACATCTGTTGTCATCACTTCCTTCTACAACATATGTGAGTGTATGTGTGCATATATGCATACATGTAGGTGTTTACTTAACATCTTTGCTTCTTTAGACATTGTGCTTGACTGAACAATATTTCCACTCCAGAATCATGTTCATAGTTCACATATTCTTCCTGTGAAAACGATATACATCTCTGAATTGATATGTGTTATCCACGAATTGCTTTCCTTTTATGTAAGGAGTTTCTGCAAAAAAAAAAAATGCTCTAAACAAAAATTGTATGCGATAAAATGAGTTAAAAAGCTTTATTTATCTATTTACATTTAAAAAATTCCTTATCTTATTAAAATTTAAGCTGTATTTTTAACTTTTCATCACTTTGAAAATATTACCACACTTGTTTCCTCTCATTGTTGAAAATTGCCAGTGAATGTCTTTGAAGCTTTGAAGTTCTAAGCACTTCCTGCTTTCTTGGGGGGAGGGGATATAGGAAATTAACAGGGAGAGAAACAGAGTGAGCCACCTGTTCAGCTACCAAATATCATATGAGCTTATTTGTGTCATAGTTTCAAAATAATAGGTTCACCAGCATTTCCAATAAAAAAAAACACTTATTAGAAACCAAATTCTTACTTTGAAGTTTGCTTAAAGACTTAAAGAAACATAATGCAACATAACATAACAGCAACAAAAACTATCTTAAATTGTTTTGGTTTTTCTGCATAGTTATATATATTTGGTTTTGGTTTGACTGTAAGGATTTACCTATCCTGGAGGGACCCAGATAAAAGATATTGTGCCATTGTTCAGTTAAAGGAAATGATGCTAAAGGCAGTATTACCTTCCTGAGTACATAACCTTAAACAAATTTGCTATTATCAAAGCAGAGTGAAATCTAGCCAAATATCAGTACAACATAGTCCTTTGGCACCACAAATCCTAATATGAAAGAAAAAAAAATAGAGAGGTAGTCAAGATGGTCTCTAAAACTGTCTTACTTTAAGACAATCAAGACAGAAATGAAGAAATATAAGTTTGGTGGGTGCATAATTATTTGGCTAGATCCATGAGTAGTTTTTCTGTAGCTCCTTTCTGAGCCGGCTAATGTTTAATTTGAGTAACCTTGTGGAAAGACCTGTTTAAGTGGCACTATCAAACAATAGCAGCAAGAGGAAAGATAAGAAGAAAGCATAAAAGGATTATTAAAGAAATGCTGGGGGTGGAATTTATCTCCAAACAAATCAGGGTGTGCTAAGCTTAATAGAAAAATCTTGTAATGGCTAGAGAGATAGGAAACGTATTTTCTAGAACTCAGGAGCAGAGAGTGTTTTCTCTCTGATTTGGGTCCAGGCGGCTGGGGTGGGGAACTGTGACTTTCATATATCACATGTGTGTTAGGCATCCTAGAATGCTGATGTCGTGTCACCAATTGGCAAACAATTAAACTGAAAGGTTGGATAGGGCCTTGAGATGGACAACTTTCAGCTTCTGTGCAAGATTTAGCTATATAGAAAGAAAATATCTTTTGATTCCTTTTAAAATCATAACACATCTAAAAGAAATGCTCGAATAAGATTTTTCCTTATTATGTAGTCTGTTCTAATGCAGACATTTTGAGAAGGAATCAGAGTACGTATACATGAGGAACACAGAAGAGAGAAATAAATGACTAACCAGGCTGGTTTGTGTCTGGCCAGTATAGGCTCAGGATGCTGACACTTGAGTTCAGATGATACATATATAGATATAAATATATATCCCAAATATCTTCATTGCATTCTTTACTAATTCTAGTAGAATCAATAACCTACATGTATTGATTTTATCTTAATTTGTATGGTTGTTGGAACAAATGGAATGATTGAAGAATCCAGTATTCTATTTGTCCATTTAGCTCATGTTTATGAAGGATTTAGGAAGTTGCTTGAATATAGAGACTCTGAGAAGGGCTCTCTGAGTGAACTAAGTCCCATGACACAACTTACAGAGGATCTAAGTCAGGAAGACAGACATGAAACAATCAGAACTATGGAGTAAAATGCTATGGTTCTGTCTCACTGAATGGCATCCTCTGTATGCAGAGGCCACTCGTTCATTCCCAGCTGCCCAGACCCGAAATAATCACACAAACTATATTAATTGCAATATTGCTAATTAATTGGTCAATAGCTTAAGTGTATTGTTAGCTAGCTCTTATACATTAAATCAATCCATTTTTATTATTTTTTTATTATACCACAAGGCTTCACACCAGATTCATTACCTCAGAATTATCCTTGAGTGAAAATGTTAAACTTCCTCCTTCACCCAAAGTCATCTGTTTAATTATTAAGTCCCAATATAATTATTTAGAGATGCCTTTAAGAGCTTGAAAGGATCACAACAGTGGGGTCCTTCAGATGGGATCAAGAGTTTTGTAAGTGATGTGAGACTCCTTTATCACACAAAGGGGGAGGTCCTAAGAACATGGAAGGAGGCAGCTATATATAACCCAAAGATTACTGCACCAGACAGATACCTTGATCTCAACTAAGAGTCTCCAGAGCTAATGAATGGTCTTATGTATGTTCTTCAGCCTGTGGTGTTTCATAATGGAGGCTCAGGCACATCAAACTTTAGGATCTGTTGCCATTTAAGATCCTTGTCTTCTGCCCCACCAAATTTGGCAGGATAATAAATAATGAAATATAAATGAATATCCTTCTGATAGTTTCCTTTTGTACCATTTGTTTTAGCCTTTGCACTCTGGTTAGTACTACCTAGAATGGGAAACAGATTCAATCAAGGCATAGGTTACAGCTTCCAACCCCCAAAATGTCTATATTGGACTTCTACTATCAAACAATTCAAAGTTGATGACTTTGTTTGATAACAGGGTCTTTATAGAGTAAATAATGTTCAGATGAGGTCATTTGGGTATGCCCTAATAAAATATGACTATAGTCATTATACAACTCATGAATTTGTACATGGAGTTTTAGGCCGAATGCCACATGAAGACTGGTGGCATCCCTGCATAAATCAAAATTACTACTGCATATTGGCAGTCAAACACTATAAGATAATACCAAGGTCAGGAAAAGATTTTTCCTCAAAACTCCAAATCAGGGCTCATACCTAAGTTTTGAATTTGCTATCTTCCAAACTGTGACACAATGATTTTCTGTTATTTAAGCAACCTAATGTGCTTCTTATGCCAGCTCAAGATAATAAATCAACAGCCACTGCAGAGCTGAAAGTATTGAAGATCCAAGATGGTGAGGAAAAATTATTTGCATTTTATGTATTTTTTTGCAATTCTTAAAATTTGCCATTTTATATGAAGATACCTCTGGTTATCAAAACATCTTGTGCCTCAGAAGTTCTAGGGGTTTGCAAAAGCAGAGAATGTTGGGCTCGCCATCCTTCTCTGAAACAGCAGGACCTCAAGGAGGCCAGAGAACTTGCCTTTTTAAAGGACTACCAGGTGTTGCTAGATGCATGCTAGATGACCAAAGAGTCCTTTTAATAACCAAAAGCAGAAGAGCATTAGAACAGCTGTTTGAGAAACTAAGATGCAAGTAGATATGAACACAAGTCATGGCAGCTGAGGGAAAGGGAAGAAAGGGGTTGGTGCTGCGACCGTCTAAGGCATCCTGATCAGCCATTTTCCAAAGCAATGTAAAGCTAAATCCACTGGAACATCCCAGCTACAATCATTCAGGAGTTTTCATCAGTGAGCCACATTTTCCCAAACATACAAGCCTAAGATTGCTAGATTATTAGAGCTGGGGTTAGGAGAATAGCAACAAGAACACTGCAAGCAATGTTCAAGAATAAATAGCATACAGAAATCTAGGCTGATGAAAAACACACTGTACATTTAATGAGAGAGGTCTTTTTGACCACTTTAATAAGAACACAAATCTCCTTCAGTTCTAATCATGAGTTCCCACCTTCAGGATTGATCATCTGCCAGGGGTTCCATTTCCTGGCATCTCGGTGGGAGGGATGACTTCAAGACACGAATTTAGGGTGTGAACATAAAATACATCATAGCACAGAGAACAGTAACAAAGCTCACTCAGTCTGAACTTGGCCTCTTATTGGGTCAAAAATTCCAAGGTATATCCTCCTGGGAAATAGGAATAGATTCCTCCATTCATTAAACCAAAGGTCATGGTGGTGACTCTCAGAATAATGGATACAGTTCCTGGGAGGGGAATCTGGCTTTGCCATTCCCAACACAGAGAACAACCCACCAACATCCAGGTGGCAGTTCTCTAACAGAATAAAGGAAGTCCCTTCTCTGAGCAGACCAGCATGCACAGAAAGTTCCTGGCAGCAGCCTCTTCTCAAAAGAGCAAAGAGGATGTTTGTTCTGCAGAACTGTTTTATTTTCTTTTCCTGGAGTGTAGTTGAAGCCTCCCCTGAAGCCGATTCCAAGCTGAGAATGGAAAAATCTCACCCAGGAGACCAAGCCCACAGCACCATCCCATGTAGCACAACCTTCCCACTGAGCATGCTGCTGTCCCAGCCTTCGCTTTCACATTGTTTTTTTTTGGGTGGTGCTGTATTTGTAATTAAAACTCTGCTTTAGAAGTCCCCACCATGGGGCTGTTGAGATGGGTCGGGAGGTGACAGTGCTTGAGTTCAATCCCTGGAACCCACAGAACAGAAGGAGCCAGCAGACTCCCGAAGTTGTCCTCTGACTTCCACCCAGAAGCAGGAACATGCTCACACATATATTCACATACACACCACACACATAATGTATATACAACCGATTTCTTAAGTCTCTGTTCAGCCAGGCATGATGGCCAGGCAGGTGATCCCGACAGTAGATAAGCAGAGGCAAGCAGACCCTGAGTTTGAAGCTATTCATGGGCTATCTAGTAAATTGCAAGGCAGCCTCAGCTA